AGCTGGGCCTCATCTGGGCACCTCCAAACCTCAAACAAAGAAGAGGAATCTGCAGATCTCTCCATAGCTCCTGCTGGGTAGCCTCAGGCAAAGGCTAAATTAGCACCTCCTTAGATCCAAGAGCCAGTGTACCCAGTGGTCAGAGTGGGACCATCCAAATTACAACTCCTCAGATCCATAAGGGACACACTCAGGGGGCAGACTCAGTGAGCACCAAAGCCCCACTGAAGCAAGTCTTGCCCCAGAGGGTGTCTCCAGCACAGAAGTTCTCCCACTGCAGACACAGCTGATTCTCACAGCCAATTGGCCTGGAGGTCATTTCCTCCCAGTGATACCTACAACAATCAAGGTTTAACTACAACAAGACTGTGCACAAAGCCCACAAAGGGGTGCACCAAGAGTGTCCACCTCAGGTAATTGGGGAGGCTGAGCCACTGGGCCCTATAGGACACCTAGCACAGAAAGCCACTCTATCAACACAGGGAAGCATAAAAAATGCGGAGACAAAGAAACAGGTCACAAATGACAGAAATGGAGGAAAGCAAACTACTGGATATAGAGTTCAAAACCACACTTTTAAGGTTTTTCAAGAATTTTCTAGAAACTGCCGATAAATTTAGTGAGACCCTCAAGAAATCTAGTGAGACCCTCGAGGTTATGAAAAAGGACCAACTAGAAATTAAGCGTACACTGACTGAAATAAAGAATATTATACAGAGATTCAACAGCAGACTAGAGGATCGCAAGAATCAAGTCAAAGATTTGAAATACAAAGAAGCAAAAAACACCCAACCGGAAAAACAAAAAGAAAAAAGAATCCAAAAATATGAAGATAGTGTAAGGAGCCTCTGGGACAGCTTCAAGCATACCAACATCCGAATTAGGGGGGTTCCAGAAGAAGAGAGAGAGCAAGATATTGAAAACCTATTTGAAGAAATAATGACAGAAAACTTCCCCTACCTGGTGAAAAAAAATAGACTTCCAAGTCCAGGAAGCGCAGAGAACCCCAAACAAAAGGAATCCAATGAGGACCACACCAAGACACATCATAATTAAAATGCCAAAAGCAAAAGACAAAGAGAGAATCTTAAAAGCAGCAAGAGAAAAACAGTCAGTTACCTACAAGGGAGTACCCATATGACTGTCAGCTGATTTCTCAACAGAAACTATGCAGGCCAGAAGGGAGTGGCAAGAAATATTCAAAGTGATGAATACCAAGAACCTACAACCAAGATTACTTTACCCAGCAAAGCTATCATTCAGAATTGAAGGTCAGATAAAGAGCTTCACAGATAAGAAAAAGCTAAAGGAGTTCATCACCACCAAACCAGTATTATATGAAATGCTGAAAGGTATCCTTTAAGAGGAGGAAGAAGAAAAAGGTAAAGATACAAATTATGAACAACAAATACACATCTATCAACAAGTGAATCTAAAAATCAAGTGAATAAATAATCTGATGAACAGAATAAACTGGTGAATATAATAGAATTAGGGGCATAGAAAGGGAGTGGACTGACAATTCTCGGGGGGGGGGGATGGGGTATGGGGGGTGCAGGAAGAGACTGGACAAAAATCGTACACCTATGGATGAGGACAGGGGTGGGGGTAAGGGCAGAGGGTGGGGTGGGAACTGGGTGGAGGGGACCTATGGGGGGAAAAAAGAGGAACAACTGTAATAATCTGAACAATAAAGATTTAATTTAAAAAAATAAAAAACCAAAGAAAACAAAAAAAAAATCAGGAGTATATCATGGCTATTTAGTTTTACTTCAGGAATGTAGGTTGGCTTTAACATTTGAGAATTAATGTATTTCATCATCTACACTAATAAAATACAAACATGCAAATGGACCGTACCTTCGCTACACCTTAAGCCACGTCCACCAGCCAATCACAGTGACTATATGCAAATTAACCCAACCAAGATGGCAGCCAGCAGCCACGGAGCTGGAGCAAGCAGGAGGCTTGGTTGCCCCGGCGATGGAGGAAGCCAAGCTTCCCGCCTGCCCTGGCCGGCTGTGGCCTCCACGCAAGGCAACAAAGTTTCAATTATAGAAGATAAATAAATCCCAGATACCTGCTTCCAGCCAGCCTCCACTGGGAGCTTGGGTGGCTGGGGGCCGTGGCCAGCCTGCAAACAGCTATCAGCCCCTCACCCAGGCTGGCCAGGCACCCCAGCGGGGACCCCCACCCTGAAGGGGCTGTGGCCAGTCTGAAAACGGCCCTCAGCCCCTCACCCATGCTGGCCAGGCACCCCAGCAGGACCCCCACCCTGATCCGGGACACCCTTCAGGGCAAACCAGCAGCCCCCACCCATGCACCAGGCATATAATAAAAGGGTAATATGCAAATTGACCCTAACAGCAGAACGACTGGGAATGACTGGCCACTATGACACACACTGACCACCAGGGGCCAGACGCTCAATGCAGGAGCTGCCCCCTGGTGGTCAGTGTGCTCCCACAGGGAGAACTCTGCTCAGCCACAAGCCAGGCTAACAGCTGCCAGCACAGCAGTGATGGTGGGAGCCTCTCCCGTCTCCTCAGCAGCACTAAGGATGTCTGACTGCAGCTTAGGCCTGCTCCCCGCTGGCAAGTGGACATCCCCCGCGGGCTCCTGGGCTGCCAGAGGGATGTCTGACTGCCAGCTTAGGCCCGTTCCCCCCAAGGAGCGGGCCTAAGCCAGCAGGTGGACATCCCCCGAGGGGTCCCAGACTGTGAGAGGGCACAGGCTGGGGTGAGGGACGCCCCCCCCCCCCCGAGTGCACAAATTTTTGTGCACCGGGCCTCTAGTCCTATATTATAAAAGCCCAGTGATCAAACGGTGGAACATCCAGAATGACCAGTCGACCAGTCCCTAAGATGCCCACTGACCACTAGGGGGCAGATGCTCAACACAGGAGCTGCCCCCTGGTGGTCAGTGTGCTCCCTCAGTGGGAATGCTTCTTGGCTGACCAGGATGAGCAGCTGCTCTCTGAAGCGGGAGCAGCTGCTCAGAGGTGGGTCCACAGCTGCTCGGCTGACCTGGATGAGCAGTTGCTCCTGCTGCAGCCACTTGGCTGACCTGGATGAGCAGAGCTCCCACAGCAGGCCAATCCCCGCAGGCCATACCTCCCACCAGTGTACGAATCCCGTGCACCGGGCCTCTAGTTAAGAGAATAAAGGAGAAAAATCATAATCATCTTGATGGTGAGAAATTATTCAATAAAGTTCAGTGTTTATTAGTGGTAAAAACTTTTAACAAACAAATAGAAAAGAAACTACTAAATTTACAAACCTACAGCAAACAATACATAATGGTGACCTATTGAAAACTTTACTTTGAGATCAGGAATGAGACAAGGATGCCTGTTATTATCACTAGTCAAGATTATACTGCATGTCCTAGATGCAAAACCTTAATAATTAAAGCTGTAAGGATTGAAAAAGAAGTAATAAGCCTATCAGTATTCACATACACTATGACTGCAAATCTTAAGAATCTAGAAAATCCAAGAGAAGAATCCAAAACAAGGTTGCTGGATACAAGGACCATATTTTTTAAATCAATTATTTCTGCATAACAGTAACAGTGAAATTTTAGAAAGACATCATGTACCAAAAAATAAATAGGAATAAATCTAAAGGAAGACCTCCATATAATAAGCTATAAAACATTACTGAGAGTCCATAAAGTTATTTTTAAAAACCACTTTTGAGAAAAATCTTTAAAAGCCTTGGCTGATTTGGCTCAGTAGATAGAGCGTCAGCCTGAGGACTGAAGGTTCCCGGGTTCGATTCCAGTCAAGGGCACATGCCCAGGTTTCGGGCTCGATCCCCAGTAGGGGGCTTGCAGGAGGCAGCCAATCAATGATTCTCATCGTTGATGCTTCTCTCTCTCTCTCTCCCCTCTTCCTTCCTCTCTGAAATCAATTTTAAAATATATTTTTAAAAAGCTAAATAAATGAAACATATATTGTATTAGTGGGTTGAAACTCTCAATATTATAAAGACATTGATGACCTCAAATTAACCTGCAGATTCAATGTAATCCCAAAGAGAATCTCAGTATGGTTTTGGGTGGGGAGAGTGGGATACAGAACTTCAAGTTCTGATTCTAAAGTATACAGGGAAATTAAAAGGATTAAATAGCCAAGACACACTTTTTTTTTTTTTAATCCTCACCGGAGGATATGTTTTTCATTGATTCTAGAGTAGCAATTCTCAACCTGTGGGTTGCGACCCCTTTGGGGATCAAACAACCCTTTCACAGGGGTTGCCTAAGACCATCGGAAAACACATATATAATTACATATTGTTTTTGTGATTAATCACTATGCTTTAATTATGTTCAATTTGTAACAATGAAATTGGGGGTCACCACAACATGAGGAACTGTATTAAAGGGTCGCGGCATTAGGAAGGTTGAGAACCACTTCTAGAGAGAGAGGAAGGGAGAGGGTCAGAGAGAAAGTAACATAGATGTGAGAGAGAAACTTGATTGGTTGCCTCCCATACATACCCCGACCAGGGATTGAACCCTCCACCCTTCAGTGCATGGGACGACACTCCAACCAACTGACCATACCGGCCAGGGTGAGCCAAGACACTCTTGAATATGAAGATCATTGTGGGAGGATTTGTTTTATTGGACATTAAAAACTATAAAACTGTAGTAATTTTGATAGTGTCATTTAGGTACAAGTATGTTAGGACAATATCTAACAACCAACCCTGAGAAAATGGACAAGAGTCTTAAAAAGAAAGTACAGATTGAAGATAGTACAAATAATGGTAGCATAAGTAAACAAGAAAATAAGAGTTATTTGGCTATGTTATTTTATGCATTTTGTCTTAACACTGAAATTCTAAGCAACTGGATATTAGAGACTATTCCTTACTCTTAACATATCTTCAGTAGAATCTCGTAACACTAGATATCGGAGGTGTTTAATATTTCATTTGAATTGAACCTATTGTGTTTAAGTTACTATTTTGAATTTTGTTTGTTTGTTTTAGATCTGCTGATTTGGGTCCTACTTTATTGACAAGACCTGGACAACCAGCACTTACCAGAGTACCCCCACCTATTCTTCCAAGGCCATCACACCAGACAGGAAGTAGCAGTGTGAACACTTTCAGACCTGCTTACAGCTCATTTTCTTCAGGATATGGTGCCTATGGAAATTCGTTTTATGGAAGCTATAGCCCTTATAGTTATGGATATAATGGGTTAAACTATAACCGCCTCCGTGTAGATGATCTTCCGCCTAGTAGATTTGTTCAGCAAGCTGAAGAAAGCAGCAGAGGTGCATTTCAGTCCATCGAAAGTATTGTACATGCATTTGCCTCTGTCAGTATGATGATGGATGCTACCTTTTCAGCTGTGTATAACAGTTTTAGGGCTGTATTGGATGTAGCGAATCATTTTTCCCGATTAAAAATACACTTCACAAAGGTTTTTTCAGCTTTTGCATTAGTTAGGACTATAAGGTATCTTTATAGACGGTTACAACAGATGATAGGTTTAAGAAGAGGCTCCGAGAATGAGGACCTATGGGCAGAAAGTGAAAGAACTGTGGCTTGCCTTGGTGCTGATGACAGAGCGGCTAACTCAGCAAAATCTTGGCCAATATTCTTGTTCTTTGCTGTTATCCTTGGTGGTCCTTACCTCATCTGGAAACTGCTATCTACCCACAGTGATGAAATAACAGGTAAGAGTAAGAGAACAGGTTCTGAAACCACATAACAATCTCAAATTTCAAGAATAGATTTGTTACATTAACATTCTTTATATTTATTTGTATTTAATATTTTTGATCCAGTTATATTTTTAGTTCAGAACTTCAGAACTGGAAAAGAAATATATAGCAAAAACAGCTTGTTGATTTATTCATTATTCCCTCAGTATAACAGTATACATTACCTAACTACTATTTACAAGGTGCTGAATTTGATGCTATGGGGTATACATAGAACATAATTCCCTTTTTTCTAAAAGTCAATTGGCAGGGAGATGAGTAAGACACATATACAGGTAATTGTGATGAGGCAGAAAGAGTGTGGTAAGGAATAAGGACAGTTGGGGAAAGATAGGATTTATTGAGCCTTTTTTATATAAAAGACACTACTAAGTATTTTGTATATTTTATCTCACTTAATTTTTACAATAACCCTAAGAGATAGGAATTACCTTCATTTTACAAGGGACAAAACTAAAGTTCAAAGAAGTCACTTGCCCAAGATCACATCTTTAATAAAGTAGGACTAGAAACAAAACCAGGCCTGTTTGTTTAGTTCCTTCTCCACCAACTGGTACCGAGTGCTATCTCAATTTAGAAAAGCAAAGCTAGTTTTTTGGGGGCAGCTATTAGTATCCCAGAAGTAGCATTTAAGTTAGATTTTTGAAGGACAGGTAACATTTCATCAGTTAGGTAGGGAAAAACAGACTGTGAAAGGCAAATACATACATGGAACAGAACAGAGAACCCAGAAATTGACCTAAGCCATTACGCTCAATATTTGACAAAGGAGGCAAGAGCATACATTGGAGTCAGCAGTCTCTTCAATAAATGGTGTTGAGAAAATTGGACAGATAACATGCAAAAAAATTAAACTAGACCACCAACTTACATCATACACAAGAATAAACTCAAAATGGGTAAAAGGCTTAAATATAAGTCGTGAAACCATAAAAATCCTAGAAGAAACTATAGGCAGCAAAATCTTAGACATCTCTTGTAGCAGTATATTTATAGATACATCTCCTAAGGCAAAGGAAACTAGGGAGAAAATAAACAAATGGGATTACATCAAAATAAAAGGCTTCTGCACAGCAAAGGAAACTTTCAACAAAATGAAAAGAGAGCCCACTGTATGGGAGAACATATTTGGCAATGATATATCTGATAAAGGGTTAATATCCAAAATATATAAGGAACTCATACAACTTAACAAAAGGAAGACAAACAATCTAATTTTAAAAATGGGCAAAGGACCTAAATAGACACTTCTCCAAAGAGGACATACCAAGAGACATTTTTCATATGTCTCTTGGACATACCAGATGGCCAAGAGACATATGAAAAAATGCTCAAACCCACTGAATATTAGAGAGATGCAAATTAAACATCACTGAGGTATCACCTCACACCTGTCAGAATGGCTACCATCAACAAATCAACAGATGAAAGTGCTGGCGAGGATGTGGAGAAAAGGGAACCCTAGTACACTGCTAGTGGGAATGCAGACTGGTGTAATCATCATGGAAAACAGTATGGAGTTTCTTCAAAAAATTAAATATGGATCTGCCATTTGACCCAGTGATCCCACTTCTAGGAATATATCCTAAGATACCCGAAGCACCAATCAGAAAGAATGTATGCATCCCTATGTTCATAGCAGCACAATTTACAATAGCTAAGATCTGGAAACAGCCCAAGTGCCCGTCAGTAGATGAATGAATAAAAAAGCTGTGGTACATTTATACCATGGAATACGATGCAGCAGTAAAAAAGAAGAATATTTTACCCTTTGAGACAGCAGGAAGGACTTGGAGAGTACCATGTTAAATGAAAAAAAGTCAGAGAAAGACAAGTATCACATGATCGCACTCATGTGGAATCTAAGGAACAAAAATAAACTGATGAACAAGAGTGGATCCAGAGATATGGAAGCATGGAACAGCATGCAGAATCTCAGAGGGAAGGCGGGGGAGGGTGAGTGGGAGGGAGGTCATCAACCAAAGACCTTGTATGCATATATGCATGGCCCATGGCCACAGACAATAGGGTGCTGAAGGCCTGGGATGGGGTCAAGGGCAGGTTGGAGGGAGTAAATTGGGGGGGAAAGGGGACATGTAATACTTTCAACAACAACAACAAAAAGACTGTCAGCTTGAACAAAAGTACATAGGGAATATGATATTCAGCAGCTGTCCTATTGCATAGAATGAAAGGATAATAAGGTTGAAGGCTAATAATGGAAGCTCTTAATCTTCATTTAGTAAGGAAAGGATGTGCTTTTTGTGTGTATGGTTTTTTAAGCAAACTTATACACAATGTTCTAAAGAGATTGGTCTGTCTCAAGTGTTTGAACTTCGGGGTCCACTTATTTGCTGATTTTTTTTCAATAAATACAATCAGCCCTTTGTATCTTCGGGATTCGAATCCATGGATTCAACCAGCCATGGATCGAAAACAGTATTTTCTCATTCCCAACCATTGATGAAAAATACTGCTTTTCATTTATTGTTAGTCAAATCCGCAGATACAAGGGACGGACTATAGAGTCAAAGATATACATGGACTTTAGACTGCACAGGGGTCAGCTCTCCTAACCCCTGCATTGTTCATGGGTCACCTGTGAAAGTCAGGGAGATAGTGCCATAGGAAGAGAAATAAGAGTGCTGCAGAACCAGGGTTAGGAAGTGGGGTCACAGTGCTACCCCAGTCAGGAAGCTTCCCTTAAGGAGGTGAGAGATTAAGGCCTGCAGCTATTTGAGGTGTAGGGAATAACAAAGGTATGTAAGTGGTAGTGTGCCTGACATGTCATGTGAACAGCAAGGAAGCCAGTGGGAAAGAAGCAAAGTCTGAGTAGCCAGAGATGGAGGGAAGAATACAGTGTTTTGGGATCTCCATGCAAATGCAAAGGAAATGTCCATATTTCAAAGTCCATTGAACTATGCAAGTAAGAAGTTTCCACTTAAATGATTTTCATTTTGGAAGTGAATTAATCTCTAATGTAATGGCATGACATACATTAATACAAAAGAAGAATTTAACAGAATTCTACTCTTTATCTACTTATGGATGGATATACTCAATTAAAACCGCAAGTTCAGTGAATTAATATCAGGATTTGTCAGTACCTGTCTGTATGAAAAAATATTTTCAAAGATGAAATACCTCAGGTCTTTTTATGTATGAACATTAACAGATGAACATTTGCACTTGATATGATGATAGGAAGCACTATAGTTAAACCCCAAAATATCCCTCCCACCCCCAAAATCCCATTCTTCTCAGTAGAAGACCTGTATTATAAAAAAATAACTCAATTTTTATTACATTTTGAGTTTTGTCAAAAAATTTATGGAAAAGTTTTTTCTTTCGTTAAATAAGTACAATATCTTCAATTCACCTCATGACCTGCAAAGTCTAAAATATTTACTTACTGTCTGGCCCTTTATAGAAAAACTTTGCTAACCCTTGGCCTAAAGTAAGGGAGCTAGAATTTTGAGCTTGAAGAAAAGGTAAAAGCTCATAATAGATATTCTAGTGAACTGTTGACTTTACATCGTGTTAATTATAGAATGTAAGGGGTAGCTTTTTTTGACAAATTTATGCAACTTGCAAACCAGAGCCAGTCAAATATCTTCATCTTTTGTTTGTAAGTTTTACTAACCTAATTTTAATTCTTAATTTGGTTTATAGACAACACCAACTGGGCAAGTGGTGAGGATGACCATGTAGTTGCTAGAGCAGAATATGATTTTGCTGCCCTATCTGAAGAAGAAATTTCTTTCCGTGCTGGTGATATGCTCAACTTAGCTCTCAAAGGTAACAAAACATGAATAAATTGATTTTATCTGTGAATTTTTTGAATTTGTAAATGTATTAAAAACTGCAACAAAATATTGGTTATTATTAGTTAACTCAGAAGTAATTACTAGGATTTCACTTTTCATGTCTATTTTGAACTTTCAAATCTGGGTGGTGGGGGAGAAATGGCCCAAATAGTGGTTTTAATAATATTTAACTGAGATAAGGAAAGAGCTTGTTTATATAATCTCTTCTAAACCCAAAATGCTTGAAGTCCAAACTCTTAATCGCTACACAAAAACATGAGGCAAATGCTAAATGTAATAAATATAACAAACCAAAGAAATTATCTAGCATCATTTAAGTATCCCTTTCCTCCTTTGAATGCTGGGGCTGTTACTGCTTTTTTTTTTTTTTTTTTTTTACTTGAATAGTGCTTACTTCAGAAACTTCAACATAAATATTTTAGGAATTACTGTCATGAAATATTTGGACCAGGTCACCAACAGTTTTTAACAGGTCTAGACAAAGTGGCTTTTTTCTTCGGCTATCTCCAGTAATGAAAATCAGAATTTTTGTTGATTTACAAAAAAAGATTCTTTGTATGTTTATGAGGATTCAGGTTTGCTACAAAAAGTCACATTGTTGGTAAAGATCCTAGTAATAACAATAACCTCTGTCATTTATAGAATACTACTTACTATGTACAAGGCACTATACTTTACATGTTTTACTTAACCCTTATAATAATAATGCTATAAAGTGCCAACTGTTACCTTGTCCTTGTTTTAGACATGAGAAAACTAAGACTCAGAATTCTGAGTAAATCGACCAGAATCGCAAAACTAAGATGTGGTAGAGCTGGACTATGAATGTAGGTTTATCTGACTTTGGAACCACTTTGGCTGTTTCCCCTGCGGTCTACTAAATGGGAACTTTAGCCCAGCGGTCGCCAACCTTTCAGACCTCACAGACCACCAGTGGCCCACCCTGATTGCCAGCCAGGCCGAGGGAACCCACCCATGCATGAATTCGTGCACCAGGCCTCTAGTATGTAAATAATTTAAAATTTTAGGTCCAGTTTGCTAAATCTCTGCCGCATCCCCTCATACACAAAATCTCACCTCTAGCCATTATATTCATGTTTTCCATCTAGTGAAAAATCACATCTTACTATTTTGAATTTCAAAAGAATGAGTTCTTTATAAGATGTCTTTTTTCTTATATATTTTTTAATTTAAATATATTTTTATTGATTTCAGAGAGGAAGGGAGAGAGCTAGAGAGATAGAAACATCAATGATGAGAGAGAATCATTGATTGACTGCCTCCTGCACATTCCCTACTGGAGGGGATTGAGCCTGCAACCCGGGCATGTGCCCTTGGCTGGAATCGAACCTGGAACCCTTTAGTCCTCAGGCCAATGCTCTATCCACTGAGCCAAACCAGCTAGGGCTTTTAATATATTTTTATTGATTTCAGTGAGAAAGGCAGATAGAAACATCAATGATGAGAGAGAATAATTAATCGTTGATAGGCTGCCTCCTGCACGCCCCCTACTGGGAACCAAGCCTGCAACCCAGGCATGTGCCCTTTACTGGAATCTAACCAGGGACACTTCAGTCCATAAGCTGATGTTCTATCCACTGAGCCAAACCAGCTAGGGCTATAAGATTTCTTGATGTAGATAAGATCAATAGAGATAGTTTTAATTAATCTAAATAAACAATAAAAAAGGTTTCTTTCAATTTTATTATAATAATTCAGAAAAATGTTAGAGCTCAGATTAGCCTTCTACTAATATTGTCTCTTAACACATTGGCTTTGCTTCTTTGCTTTCTTCCATTGCTCAAGTAAAGTATGTTTGTGCACTTAGAATAAAATCTGTCACAGACATGGTTAATTTGTTTCTTCTTTTTTTATAGCATATTAAACACTAAAATGTCATATTGTGTCTAAATTATAATGTTGAACTAAAACTCTAGTGTTAAACAGCTTTTTAAAGACATGGATAAAATAGGTGGAAGAATACCAAAATTAAAAATTGAATATATTAAGTAATCTTTCCTACTTGAAGCTTAGGACTCATTGGTTCTCAACCTGTGGGTCGCGACCCCTTTGGCGGTCGAAGGACCCTTTCACAGGGGTCACCTAAGACCATCCTGCATATCAGATATTTACATTACGATTCATAACAGTAGCAACATTACAGTTATGAAGTAGCAACAAAAATAATTTTATGGTTGGGTCACAACATGAGGAACTGTATTTAAAGGGCCAGAAGGTTGAGAACCACTGGCTTAGGTTATTGCTTTTAACTTTTTGTCAAGGTTGGAGATAACAGAGGTCTTCATTTTTGGATTAAAATTAACATTCACTGTCTTCAGGATTGTTCATCACAATCACATAGAATGAATTTTATATTTTGGCTAAAGGTATGTAAAGAAAGCTGGCTGTCCTGGGCCGAATTTCTCAGTGGTTAGAGCATTCACCCTCGAACTGAAGGTTGGATCCCTACCCTGCTCTGGGTGCATGCAGGAGGCAAGCAATCGATGTGCCTCTGTCCCATCGATGTTTTTCTCTCTTTCCCTCCCTCTCTCCCCCCCCCTCCCCCCCCCCTCTTTTCCTTCTTCCACTCTCTCTAAAAAGTCAAAGGAAAAAATATCCTCAGGTGAAGATTAATAAAAATAAAAAAAATAAAAAGAAAGCTGGCTTATGTAAGGTATACATTTATCTTCTATACTTACCCCTGAGTTACCCTATTGAGAAGGATTGAGAAATCCATTTCTCAAATTCCAATTTAAAATATGAAAGACATTGATGTTAGTTTTCAGCTTTTGGGGTAGCTGAATCTCCTTACTCTATGAATGGACAAACTAATATAAGCTTTGTTCTTCAAGGTTGAAAAATATTTAGTAATTATAAAATGTATAAATTATAAGAAGGGACCTAGAACTGTTAAGTCTATCATTTGATATTGAATATATGTGTATATGCTATTTGTTTATATATTTTATTATATAACTGTAACACAGCTTTTACTTAATTATGTTATAATTACAAGGCTGTCTTTTCTTTCATCAGAACAGCAACCCAGAGTGCGCGGTTGGCTGCTGGCTAGTCTTGATGGTCAAACAACAGGACTTATACCTGCTAATTATGTCAAAATCCTTGGTAAAAGAAGAGGTAGAAAAACACTGGAATCCAGTAAAATTTCCAAGCAACAACAGCCTTTGACCAACACAACACTAATTAAAGGAGCCACAGCTGCTGATTCTTTGGATGAACAAGAAGCTGCCTTTGAATCTGTTTTTGTTGAAACTAGTAAGGTTCCAGTTGTACCTAGTTCCACTGGAATAAGTGGAGATAAACAAGATCTTTGATATCTTTCATGTTTGCCTGCAGTTGAACTATAGAATACTTTTTTAAAATTACTTCTTATATAGGAATTATTCTATAGTCCAATGAACACACTTATTGCTATTCCAGGTGTTTTGCTGCTAGAAATTGTTAAAGTGGTACACTAGTATCTTGGTCTAGTGACCTGGTTACATTTTACAAGTTATTGGGCCACAAGGATGTTTGTTTCACCTAGATTTTAAGATTATGAAAAATGTTTTATTTTCATCTTATTTAAAACCTATGTTTATTGCCTGACCCAGTTGGAAAGTTGTCCTATACACCAAAAAGGTTGCAGGTTCAATCCTGGTCAGGGTACATACCTAAGTTTTGGGTTCTGTCCCCGTTTGGGGCACATAACAGAGACAACTGATCTCTCCCTCTTTCTCTTTTACTTTCTCTCTCTCTCTCTCTCTCTCTCTCTCTCTCTCTCTCTTTCTCTCTCTCTCTCTTTCTCTTTGTCTCTAAAATCAATAAACATATTCTCAGGTGAGGATTTTTTTAAAAAGTAAAACCCTATGTTTACTGAAGGAGTAAGAGTAATGAACTACAGAATATACTATTTGCTACAGTAGAGATTATTACTGTTTTTAAAATTCTACATTAATTGTCTTGAAATCCTCAGAAATTGAGTGCTAATATATGAAAACAGGAAAAAAGGCTAATTTTTTTTTTTACAACTTTAATTATATTGAATAATAAAAATTTTCTGATCTGTATTACATTCAGTCTTGGGTTTGTTTTAGGCAATAAAATGTTTTTGCCCACTAACAATTGATACCATTATCATTTATTGTGTTTTTAAAAATTTATCCTGGAAAGGTCACTAGAAGCATTGTGAAGGAGATGGTTCTAGAGTATATTTAGCCCTAATAGTTTTCCCTGCTACTAAAAAGGCTGACATTTATCTTTCTTACAGATTATTTTCATGTCTTCTGAGGAGCAAATAACTTTTTTCCCTTTACAATAGGACTAGTTTTCATCCTGGATGGATCAGGATATAGGAAAGATTTCCTTTCTCTTTCTCCAACCAGGACTCAAGTCCTTGGAGTTTGTGCATAATGATATAGTAAATCCTAGCATTTAAAATCTTTTCATAGATTCTCTTCTCACTAATATAATTACTTTTCAAGAGTACATATTCATTCAGGCTGTTCATTGAAAATACACTTTATTTTAGGTTTAATTTTTACTACTTGAGACTGTAAATAAAATTCTGAATTGCCATTTAACATATGATAAAGCTATTTGATTTTTTTGTTTAATAATGACTTTATATGCAGTTAAATTTCACTGAATATTTACACACAAAATTGGAAAATTTGTATACTTGCTGTGATTATACTATGAAATAATACTATCAGGAATACAGGTGTACAAGAATATATTCACAGGTATAGTATTTCCCATTTTGTTCTAGTGGAGGTTCTGCTTTGTTATAGAGTAATTAATAGAAATTTTATTCTTGAAACAAATTTTTGATAAATTATTAAATTTGGTGTTGAGACATCTGAACTGAATGCTGTAAGTGAAGTGTAGAGGTGAAATGTTGATTCAGTCTATTTAGGTTAGAAAAGGTGAGTCTTTACAATAGAATTTGTGACTGGTATTAAAGATGTAGAGGGGAAAGAGTATAGCACAGAATGAAAAACAAATAATTTCACTTTTCTTAGAGTGTTTATTGTAATCTTTTTTATTATGACAGTTTTAGTATACTTTTTTTAGATGATATTAAATGTAATGTTCAAGGCTTCAATATTGTTATTTTTAGGAACTTATTTAAGGAGTACCACTTTACAGAAATTACTAAAACCAAACATTTTCAGTTAAATAAATTAATAAATCACAAATTACAATAAGAAAACAGGTTTTATTTACAGTTTTTTTTTCTGATTTTATCAGTTTAGAAAGGAAAAGGTAAAAAGACAATTTTCATGTTTTAACATGTTATTTATGTACTTGATTTAGTCTTTCAATTTGTCATAATTACACATTTACTTGAATCTAGCAGTCCTTTATCTTTAATGGAAAAAACAAATTGAATGCAGTTAAAATTTTATTTTTAATTGTGAAATTACTTTTATTGGACAAATAAAAATACATTAAACTTGAGTGACATTTTTTTAAGATAAACTGTTAACTCTATTTGCAGGATTGGAATTTATATAAAAAGTCTCTATTTTTCACACTGGCCGGTGTGTGTCAGTGGTTAGTAGTCTGCCCTCGAACTGAAGGGTCTTGAGTTTGATTCCCAGTCAAAGGTACATCCCTGGGTTACAGTTTCTATCCCCAGCCCAGGTTGGGTGAGTTCCAGAGGCAATCAGTCGATGTGTCTCTCTCACATCATATTTCTCCATCTCTCTCTCCCCTTCCTCCCTCTCTTCCTTCCACTCTCTCTAAAAATCATTGGAAACTCTAGCCGGTTTGGTTCAGTGGGTAGAGCATTGGCTGTGGACTGAAGGGTCCTGGGTTCAATTCCGGTCAAAGGCACATACCTCAGTTGTCGGCTTGATCCCCGGCCCTGGTCAGGGCGTGTGCGGGAGGCAGCCAGTCATAGTGTCTCTCTCACATCAATGTTTCTCTCTCTCTGTTTCTCCCCCTCCCTTCTACTCTCTCTAAAAATCAATGGGAAATTATCCTTGGGTGAAAATTAACAACAATAAAAAGTTTATTTTTCTTCATATCATTGTGTATACTAACAATTGCAAACCAATGTGTCCCTTTTTTTTGTGAGTTAAAAAATATTAGATGCCCAGCCAGTGTGGCTCAGTGGTTGAGCATTGACCCATGAACCAGGAGTTCATGGTTTGATTCCCAGGGCAATGCCTGGATTTCGGGCTTGATCCCCAATGGGGGCTGTGTAGGAGGCAACCAGTCCCTCTCACATCGATGTTTCCCTCTCCCTCTCCATTACTCTCTCTGAAATCAATTTTTTTAAAGGGAAAATAATGAAAAATATTAGATTTAGATTTATATAAAAATTTTCTAGAAGGTTGAGTTAAATAAAAATAAGACTACAGCCCTGGCCGTTGTGGCTCAGTTGGTTGGGCATTGTCCTGTGCACTGAAAGGTTGTTGGTTTGATTCCAGGTCAGGGCCCGTGCCTGGGTTGCGAGCTTCGATCCCTGGTAGGGGGTGTGAAGGAGGCAGCCAATTCCTCTCACATTGATGTTTCCCTCTCTCTCTAAAAATCAATTTTAAAAATCTTAAAAATGAAAATAAAAAGACTACAAGTAATCTAGGTTTTGGATTCTAATCTGGACACCACTACTACTTACTGTAAGATTTAACTCACATTATTTTTCAATTTCTTCAGTAATAATGTTGGGCAAAGCTGCTATATCTGCCTTCATGGGAGTGCTTTTTTTTCCCCCTCATAAGTAGGATTTTTTTATTTGTCACCATTAAATCTGAATTTTAAATAGATTCTGTGGCCAGGGGCTCATATCCATCAGCTCATTCAACTTTAATACCTGTCTCATCCCTAGTAGCTTTTCCAGAACTCTTAATTTCACTGTGAATCTCCATGAGTTTTCCCAATTCAAATTTGGGCTGCTTTAGCATTTTGACTTTTCTAACAAAGACATAATGGAGCGGATAGATTGGCAAGCCTTTTCTGTCTTTTCCAATGCTATCTGAAATCAGTTTATTGACCAATTCTTTCAAGTCATTTGTCTCATCTCTCAGGTCATGATTGCCATCATCCATATGTTCTTGACTCCAAAATTTATATCTTCAGGCCTTTTATCTGAATTCCAAAATCATATCCACCCACCACTCTGATATCTTCACTTGATCTCTGAAGTTTAATATGGTTAAAAATCCTGACCTTCACTTCAAAACCTGTTTCTCCTTCATTCTCTTTCTTGTGCTAGTAAGTGGCAACTACATTTTTCTGTTTGTTTAGGCCAGAAGCTTTGGAACTCTTTTTTATTTCTCTCACAACCCTCATATTATTGTGAGAGCCTATGACTTGTTGCTTGGCTTCTACCTCTACTTCACCAGACCTGTAGTCACTTGTCAGCACAGGAACAGAGTATTCATTTTTTTTAATCTAAGTCATATCACAACACCCTCTGCTGAATTCCTGCCAGAGGCTTCCCATTTGACTCAATATCAATTCAAAGTCCTTATAGGTCTACAAGTGATGATGCCATCTGACCCGCTTTCAACTCTTCACCTTCCACTTTCCTCATAGGTGCCACACTGCCACCTTGCAGTCACTTTAATATTCTAGCCATGTTCTCACCTTTGGACTTTTGCACATAGTTTTTCTTAGGTCTGGACATTCCCAGAAATCCTCATACCCTTCTTCTGCAACTTTCTGGTCATTGCCCAAGAGTTATCTCGATGAGCCCATCCATATCACCCTGTTTTAAACTGCAACCTCTGCCTTAACTCTGTAGTATACTGGTATATTGCTTCTTGTCTTCCTGCATCCTACACATGAAACAGTACCTAGCATATTTGGGGCACTCATATCCTGAAAGAATGAGCGGATAAATCATAGTATCTTTTTCCCATACTCTCATTAATGTCAGAAAGTTTCACTGTAGAAAGAGCATATGAAATTAATCCTAACAGAATAAGTGTACAGGGTAAATCAATAACTTAAATTCATAACTACTAGCTATAGTATGCATTATTTCCCTAGATAGTCATAATGCATCAATGTTTTGTTTACACTGTTAATAGACAATATGTGGAAGGAATATCAAACTATATGCCTTTGATCAGTTAATTTTTATACAGTTTAAACTTGGTTGATTATTTTTATTTTTTAATATATTTTCTTTATTGATTTCAGAGAGGAAAGGAGAGGGAGAGAACGATAGAAACATCAATGATGAGAGAGAATCACTGATTGGCTACCTCCCGCATGCCGGACATGTGCTCTGACCAGAATCTAACTGTGACCTCCTGGTTAATAGGTCAATGGTCAACCACTGAGCAATGCTGGCTGGGCTAAACTTGGTTGATTTTTAAATTTCACTAATACATTCATAACCCTGCACACCAAAGAAGTTTTAGTTTTAAGCCAGTACAGTAAACTTCAGTTGGAAAGTAAGCCCCAGAGAAAAGGCCACAAATCACTTAGGTAGCATATCTTTTTATTATTTTTTTCCTCTTTAATGTCGAAAGTATTATACATGTCTCCTTTTTCCCCCCCACTGACCCCCTCCAACTTGCCCCCGCCCTCTGCTCCAGGCCTTCACCACCCTATTGTCTATGTCCGTGGTTTAGGTAGCCTATCCTTTATTTTTAATTTTTAATATATTTTTATTGACTTCAGAGAGGAAGTGAGAGGGAGAGAGAGATTGAAACATCAATGACGAAAGAGAATCATTGATCAGCTGCCTCCTATACAACTGGGGATTGAGCCCGCAACCTGGGCATGTGCCCTTAACCCAAATCAAAGGGCGCATGCCCGTAGGCTAATGTTTTATCCACTGAGCCAAAGCAGCTAGGGCAGATAGCATATCTTTTAGAAGGCAACTGCTTTTGGAATACATTTGACTTGCTTCCAGGATCTGTGGACTTTTGGATTCATCTTTTTAATCAATTCTAGAAATTTTACAACAGTTATCACCATTCTGTTTGTTCTCTCTGGGATTCAAATTAGACATATGTTGAACCTCATTCGGTCCTCCATAGCTTTGTCTTTTGCATTTTCTATGTCTCTGTGTGCTGCAATCTGGATAATTTTTCATGTATATTTGCATGTTCACTCTTCAGCTATTTCTAATTTACCATTTAATTCATTCACTGATTTCTTTAAATTTTCATAATTATATTTTAAATTTAGATAATTATATTTTAATAATTATATCTAAAAGTTCTGCCTTTTTTTTTAATCAGCTTGTTCATTATTGATCATTTATTGTGCCCTTTTTTAAGGATGCCATGTTAATATCTACAAGAACTCCCGTATCTGCAATCCTTAAAAGTTCAAATGTTTATTGTCTGTTTTGATGCTCACGCATAGTGTCTGGCTTCATATTTATGGTGATCTTTCTGAGCTTATTGCTTGTTAATCTGTGAGTTCTGCAGGCCAAAGCTTGGAAGGCTTGACTCCACAGAGCAAGCCTCAAACTACGGCCCGCGGGCCACATGCAAATACAAATATTGTATTTGTTCCCGTTTTGTTTTTTTACTTCAAAATAAGATATGTGCAGTGTGCATAGGAATTTGTTCATAGTTTTTTTTTAAACTATAGTCCGGCCCTCCAACGGTCTGAGGGACAGTGAACTGGCCCCCTGTTTAAAAAGTTTGAGGACCCCTGCCACAGAGGATTCACTTCTGCCTATACTGGAGGCATCATATTCTGGGACCAACTAAGTCCTTCCTTGCAAGTCTTAAGTAAGAGTAGGAGACCAGGATCAGTTTCCCCTCCCCCTCACTCTGCTGATTGGCACAAAGCTCAAACTCCTGACAACTTCGGGCATCTCCCCTCAGGGCACCCATACCCCTCCCTTCTGCCTGCAGTTTCTAGCTCATTGGTTTTGATAGATTTTTGCCTGCTCCCCAACTTCCTATGAGACTCAAAGTGCTTTAATGTGTATGTCCCAGACGGGGTCTTGTGCAGCAGGAGAGCCTCACATGTAGTCCACCACAATGCCAAAAATTAGAACTTCCCTCCAATTTCCAGAGACTCATGGCCAATTATTTCAAGTTTTACATTGTGAAAAAAGCAATAAATGTATTTTTTTCTTTGCGATATTTTTTTAATATATTTTTATTGATTTCAGAGAGGAAGGTAGAGGGAGAGAGAGATAGAAACATCAATGATCAGAGAGAATCACTGATCGGCTGCTTCCTGCACACCCCCTACTGGGGACCGATCCCACAATCCGGGCCTGTGCCCTTGACTGGAATAGACAGAACCCGGGACCCTTCAGTCCACAGGCTGACGCTCTATCCACTGAGCCAAACCAGCTAGGGCTCTTTGTGATGTTTTAGCTATTAATATTTACTCTGTAAAAACTAAGAATATTTACTTTGTAAAAAACTACTCCTTAGTTTGAAATTAACTGGGAAACTCAATATCCTTAATGGGATGTGAGGAGAAACCAGGAAGGAAGAAAGGATATTAACACCAGAAA